TCTACCGCACGCAAATGGAAAATGTATATGTACATGTTTATGTATGTGTGGCATGAATGTGTACGTGTACGTCTATGTGTATGTGTGTACGTGGAATGTACGTATGAAGCGCAAGTTATGTCTGCTATGTCAGCAATGAATGTTGCTTAAGCAATTGTCTCTCTGTCTCTCTATTCCTCTTTCTCTCCGTCTCTGTCTCCCTCTCTGTCTGTCCGTCCGTCCGTCTGTCCGTCTGTCTGTCTGCTACGAGAGTACGCATGTATTATGTATGTGTGGACATACACATGTACATACATTACATACATACATGTATCTGCAAAGGTATACCATGTGTGTATGCACACGTATATACACACACATATATCTATATATATATATACACATACATATACGCATAGTAACACATAGTCATGTAGCTATCTACTTGTGTCAATTCACCCTTTGCGTCGTTCAGACGTCTGTCTGTGTCTATGGATGTACAGCACTTCGTGTGCATGTCGCGGCGCACGTGAGTATAACTACTGCACAGCTATGCATTTATGCGTCTGCCTTTGCATGCATGAGTATCCGGGAGTTGCTGCCTTCTGTATCCATGGAAGTAGGTGACGCTTGCGGTTGTGGCTATGGAGCTTCCTCGGTTGACGTCTGCTTTCTGTACTGCCGAGTCTTACGAGACGACCACGAGACGTCCAAACGACTCTCCTCGCTGGTCGCCTGGGAGGCCAGGGAGGCCTGGGACGCACCCTTGGTGGATCCTGCAAGCCTTGGCAATTGCAATGTTCCTCGTTCTCTAGCTTTGAGGGTCTGGGTGCCGCGGAGTTCGGGGTCGAGTTGCGAAGGTCTTTGGAGTTGGAGGGCGGGATAAAGAGTCATGATCGTAGCTGAATCTGCACAGGAAGGTTTTGGGGGCTGCTCTTCTAGATTGATCTTGTGAACCTGCGGCTCAGGACTTCCACATCTTCGATCTCATTTTGGCAGACTTGGCTTGCAGATCCACTGGCTTGCACTCCAGCTCCTCTTTTCCGAAGGATTTACTACTAGACTGGACGCAAAAACCCCCACGACTTGCACTACAGCAATAGCTCGAAGTCTAAGAGTCTAAGACCAATGTGTCAGAGCCCAGGTTCTGCAGCTCATCCTGCCGCAGCAGCTGCCTCCCAAGCGCAAGGGCAGAGGGGCTAAGGATGGCGCGACAACGTCTTTAAGTAATGCAGGCGCCTCAATAATTAGAATAGGGTTTTGGGGCCCATTATACTAGAATTAGAATATGGAACCCCCTAAACACTATTCTAACTATCAAGGCCCCTACATTATTGCGGGAGGGAAAGCTTTGCTGTTTCGGGCTGGTTGAGCTTTTCCTATGATTCCGTCGAGGTGGATGGCTGATGGCACAGCCCAAGCAAGCGGACTCTTTCAAAAAGCAAGACCCTGAACCCTTTCCTCTAAACCCAAATCCAACCCAAAACTCTGTCGGAAGACTATTGGAAGCCGTAAGCCCCCCGAACAGGCACCTCGCTCGCTCCCCGTGCCCCAAGTAGATGAAGACGTCGTTGCAGCAAAGCTCCTCTAAGACCTTTGTGGTTTAGGGTTTAAGGCCTGGTAGGCGGATTTAGATGTGGGACTAGGGTTGATCTCAATCCAGGTTGCCTCTCAGGTGTTCACGAGTCTACCAGCACTGAAGAGCTCAACCAGCAACTTTTGTCACCAGCTTGCAACGCCGAAAACCTCGCATCAAACCCCTGAGGCCATGCTGGACCTGCAGAGGGAGCAGACCGACCGACCCAACAAGCGAACCCCCTTTCGGGGTCTTGTATCCGCTCGGGTACGTGGACATAGTATAGGGGCCCTAATAATTAGAACAGGGTTTTCGGGCCCATTACTATACCATAATTATACTAAGGAACCCCCAAAATAGTATAGGTAATTATGAAGGCCCTTACATTACATGGACGTAGGGTTCCCAGACAGCCCTCTTGCAGCCCAGCATCTTCCTTCGACGCAGGCATGGGCTGCCCAGTGTGGCCGTGCCAGGCCTCTGCAGAGACTAAGGCCTGATGCCCAGGAATACCATACTGTAATGTAATACTATTGATCACTGAAATACACGGTAATATCCAGAATATACACAATAATTTGGCAAAATATGCTGTGATAGACTGCAATATACCATATAATCTACTATACTCCACCGTAATACACTGTAATAAACTACATGATCTACTATACTATACTGTGATATACTGTTTGACCTACTGTACTTTTCTGTAGTAATGTTCTACATAATGCACTCAAGTTACACTGTAGTATGGAGGACTGCACCAACCTTCGCCCTGACTCAAACCCTATAAACCCTAAACCCTGAACCCTAAACCCTAAACCCTAAACCCTGAACCCTAAACCCTAAACCCTAAACCCTAAACCCTAAACCCTAAACCCTGAACCCTAAACCCTAACCCAAAAAACCCTGGAAACACGCCGTGGAGCCGGCCTGTCCGTGAGAGCTCCAGCGAGCGAGAAGCTGGCGCACGTCACCCATGTTGCTGCAGTCCTCCGTCTTGAAAAGTTCATTTATGTAATATATTGTATCATATTATAGTACATTCTAGTATACTATATAGTATGTTATACAATGAAAAGTGCATTATGTAATACATTGTAGAGTCTACGACGGCACATGGTAGCATATTCTAGTACATTCTAGTATACTATATAGTCTGTTATTATATGTTATAGTATCTCATAGTACACTAGAGTATATTATACAGTATGTGATCGTTTATGATAGCTAGTTATAGTATAGCAGTCCTCCGCAGGGTCGATGATGAAGTAGCCCGTCCTGGCGTGAGGAGCGTCTCTGGAGCCTGCCTGCCGCATGGCAAGCATCAGAAGACCTCTTCCTTACTGCAAACGATCGAGAACCACGCAGCGAACCAGAATCCGCTGCTTGACCCCAGGCCCGAAACTCAAAAGCCGAATTCGGAACTCTGAAGACCGAGCCGGCCCCGGCGTGTCCTGGGCTTCACCTCCCCGGCGCCAGCGAGCGCTTTCAGCCTGGGTCGTTGTTGTTTTGTGCTTCATGTTTCTGGCACCGTTGGATTGCGACCCCGCCTTCTTTGACATCTAAGTGTGCACAGGCTGCAATACGGTATGCCGAAGGCTGTCTGGTCTAGCTAGCTCTGGCTCAAGATGTCTTTATTCTCTGCTCTTCGGCTGCGCACAACACCTTCCCCATGGAAACTGTCTGTCTTGTGTCCACACCATTGCATTTTGTTGATGCGACCGTCTGATACTGCACTGCGGCACGCCATAGCCGTAGCGACTCCAAAAACCGTGCTCCATAAACCCGACACCCTAAAGCCCTTCATAAAACCCTAAACGCCCTGAAGTCCTACACCCTGAACCCCTACACCCCTAACCCCCAAACTCCCAAAATCCTCAACCCTAAACCTTAAACCCCTAAACCCCTAAACCCGAAACCTCCCAAACCCCAAGCCAGAAGACCCTAAGCCCTAAAATGCCCCACACCCCAGACTCTTACATCATTAACCACTCCCTCCTGACCCATGACAATAAAGTCCAAAATCCCTTCACTAAGGAAAATACCTCAAATTATAGGGGCCTTAATCTTAATATTATGATTTGTAAAGTATAGCAAAATTTAAAATTAAGGGGTCTTAGGATTTCTGGGGACCTGCCTTTTGCTTCTGAGCGACGTCATGTTGGGAGCCAGGCCACGGACCACCTTTCGGTGCCTTCCGGGGGGGGGGCTCCGAAGAAGCCACCCTAAACCCTAAACCCTCAAACCCTAAACCCTAAACCCTAAAACCCTAAACCCAGCAGATTTCGAATGTGTGAGGTTGCGGCTGAGGGACTTGGGTTCGGTGCTTGGGGACTTCGGGTTTAGGGTTAAGGGTTAAGGGTCTAAGAGCTTAAGGGTTTAGGGTTTAGGGTTTTAGGGTTTCGGGTTCAGGGTGGCTTTAAAGATTTCGGGTTCCTTGAGAGATCAGGATTGGGCTTGGGGACCCAACCTTAGCTTGGGACTTGAGGCTTCGCTTCATGCAAGGGTTACTACAAGGGTCCTTTGAGGGTTCGAGAGGGAGGTTAGGGTTGAGATACATGCTAGCTTCAGACCCCAAACACAGCCGAGACGGTGCTGAGAATCATTGAGAAACTGGCACACCCTACCCTACCTGCATGCAGGACATTTCCTAACGAGGAGCTTCCGCAACCATCCCGATAATATCCCCTTAGACGGAAAGAGACCCCATGATCCCCAACCGCCTCAGACAGGCGCAGGCTTCCAACGGTAACTGCGCGACGGTCGCATCCACATACAGGATCAGGGGAGCCTCTTCTAAGCTTGGGAAGATGAGTGCTTGAGGTGTCTCTGGGTTGGATCTTCGGGTTTGGTAGGGGTCTATTGGGAATGTTTGCCTCTTCGTGTGACTTTGGGTGGCTCTTGTAGGTATGTTGCAATTTGGGTGAGCAAGGGCTGTTAGATGAAAACAGATAAAAAGTCTTCACCAGCTTTATTTGGCTGCCGGGCGAGGCAGGCTCTGTGTCATGATATGGCATAGTCATCGTCTTGGCTGTGTGTTGCCTAGGTTTCAAGTCCGTTCAGCGCAATCTGCCACCTCGCAAGAACACACAAGCAATGAACCTCATCCCATCCTTGCTCCAACCCTCCAAAACCGCCGAACTCTAGCCCCCTGAACCCGAAATGCTATACCCAATCCCCTAAACTCCCGAACCCAGAACCCTTAATCCTAGACGCCGAACCTTGTGCAAACACTAAACCCTTCACCCCACACCCTAAACCTCTAACCCCTTAAGCCCTCCAAAGCCATCACAATCTGCGGGCTACCTCCTCCTGGGATATCTCGGCGGCTCCCAAGACGGCTCGGCAATCCGATCGGTACCTTTCAAGTTTAAAGCTTGGGGTTTTCGGCTTGAATGCTATAGTGTTCTGTGTATAGGGCCATGGGGTTTTAGAGTTCAGGGAGGGTTCAGGGTTTCGGGTTTGGGGCTGAAGGTGGAGCCCAACTGTCTTTTTCGGCCTGCGGTCTTTACCCTTTACTAAGAAGACAGGGCCGTCTGAAGCAACTTAGCGCGGACTCCGCAAGCTCTTGCTTGTCCGGCTGCCGAACATGTCCTCGGCTCATGATTCTCCGTACCCTTCCTTGATGTGAGTACAGGCGGGCCTAGCGTAAGGACACAGCGGTAGGGGGAAGGATGCCAGCATCCTAGCAAAGAGCTGCATCCCTGAATCCAGCAGGCAAGCCTTCAACACATGCCGGTCAATACTGACCAGCCTGCACCATGCGCAAACAAAGATATGCAGGATATTGCATGCCTTAATAATCCTTGCCAAAACACTGGCCAAAGCAGACCGCTGAACTCCAAAGCTTGAGTGCAACCACACACTCAGGTGGCCATGGTCACCAGTAGCACTTGCCATGGCCTCTTCAATGACGACGCTCTGCGCCGCAGCTGGGAGCTGTTGCCGGGCCAGAATGCCTGCCAAAAGGAGCTGTGGTGACTGACTAGCAGGTCGAGTCTTCTCTCGTACACGGACGGGTCTAAGGGCATCGGAGAAATGGCGTGGCGCTAGCTCCTTCGTCCAGAAGTCCGTAGTTTGCCAAGAGTTTAGGCTTTGTTCTACAAGGATCACCCAGAAAACTCGCTGTGCCCTCGCCATTCGGCCAAATCTGCTTACATGGGCTGCACGAAATAGTCGGTGATACTGAGCAACCACAGCATAACTCCCTCCCTTTCCGCACCTCTAGCACCGTCGCTATCTCGCCGGCCTGCAAAAGCAAAGCGTCTGACTCTCCGGTGCTGGGGTTCCGGGGTTGCAGCTTTCGGCTGGGAGCCTTGGCGTCCCCAAAGATCCGAATGAACGTCCATCAGAAAGGAAGTTCTTTCAACTGCTATCCTATGAATATGGAGGCGCTGGCCAGGAACACTATGCTAGATTGAAAAATACAGTAGTGAGGCTCGTTGCATGAAGCCCTCACAAGTAAGCCGTGAACGTTACCAGGCAGCCCGGCTTGATTTATGCGCAATCGCAAATATAGAAATATATATGAGCATGTAAACATCTATATGTATATATATATATATATGCCCATATATATATATATATATAGATGTATGTGTACAGTTACTCATGTATTTATCTATATACGATCTGTCTATTTATGGATACTTATAGCCACTGCCATGAATAAAGTTCTACTCATATGACTCATATGTCTGTTTCTATTTGGCGGTCATGGTTACAATATACGTACTCATATTTACAGGTGTATGTATGTCTAGATTTTCTGTGTTTGTTTCTTTTTGTTTGTGCTTATGTGTGCATTTATGTTTATATGCACATCTCTAGACATATGATTGTTGTTCTGTTTATGTTTTTACCTATGTATCAGAACCTGCTTTCACATCCACAAGCATGCATATTCTATATGCGCACTAGTCACTTCTAGTTCTACTTCAGCTGCTACTAGTAACTGGTACAGGTCTTGCTACATTATTCCAGCATTCCGACATTCTGTTTCTGAGGGCCAATATCATTGCAGTCTTGCGCCGTTTTGTGATGATGCCTTCTCATTGCTAGATTCATTGCTAGATTGTCATGATGGTGCGCCATCAGCATGTGAATATTGTTCTGCAGGTCTGAAACTTCGGTACAACTCATGTCTGTGCACAGCTCAAGCCTTTCACTATTGTGTAAAGGTATTTCCAGGCTGCTGCACGGTGCCCTTCCCTAGCTATACTGCTATACCGTGCCAGTCTTGAACAGCTGGTTTCAATTGCGGCACTGCAGGATTATATTGGCCTAGTTTGCCAGGTCGTCTTGTAGCTCTGCTTTGATCTACATTCAGTCTATTCTGTCGTGTGAACTTAAGTCTCAGAAAATAAGCGTGTGAAATTATTTTTCGTTGCTCAAGGCATATTCTGGCATCCTACTGTATCATTAGGCGACTTTACATCTCCGCTACTTCGCTACTGCGCCCCTTTGCCTGACTACTGAACTGTATCATGTACATTGATTACATACTAGACCCGTACGAAACTGTAATGTATTCTATAGTAGGTGCTGATGGCATCATGCGAGTTCCGTCGGCAGCAGTGCGATTGCTGTACATATAGTTCGCTCCTGCACTATCATGATTTCTTCTTATCCAACGTGTTGCTAATATTGGTGAGGTCAGTACTCATACTAGTAATGGTGGTGGTGATAACAGTGATGCAAGTGATGATGGCAGCACCAGTAGCAGTAGCAGTAGCAGGAGAACTAGTGGTTTCAGTGGTGGTGGTGGTGGTGGTGGTGGTGGTGATGGTGGTGGTGGTGGTGGTAGTAGCAGTAGCAGTAGCAGTAGCAGTAGCAGTAGCAGTAGCAGAAGCAGTAGCAGAAGCAGGGGTGGAAGTAGTTGTAGTAGTAGTAGTAGTAGTAGTAGTTGTTGTTGTTGTTGTTGTTGTTGTTGTTATCATCGGGGTTAGCAACAGCAACAACACAGGTAGCAGCAGTACTGGCAGCAATAGCAGTAGAAAGAGGAACAGCAGCGGCGATTACAGCAGTGGGGGCTGTAATCGTCGTGATATTACATATGCTGCATGACCACTATGAGCTGCTACTACTTCAAGTCGGCACAATGCTTCTGCGAACACCTTGGACATACTGCACAATCCCAGCTTCAGGGTTAAAGACTCCGAGTTCTGGCAAGGGCAAGAGCTTGGCAAGAGGCTCCAATCTTCAACCTCGAAAAACACACAACACGACATGGGAAATACAGATAGGCACAGGATACTCACCACAACAAGCACTAAAGCCCAACATGTTGAGTAACCAAATGCAACTCCAATGCAAGCGTCTGTAAACCACTGAAATCTTTAGGGATGTACCTCGAGCTTGTCCGCTTCCAGGAACAACAATGCCTCGGCCCAGGGGCTGCTTTGATATTCGAGAAAACTTCATTCCGCGAGTCCCAGACCTGCTCCTAACGTGGCAGACTGATTCAGCAAAGCTAACAACGACAGCTTGGAATTAGGATTTAGGGCTTCAGGGTGCGTTTAGTGTTCTGAGTTGAACCTCTGCGGTGAGGATTTGTAGCCGCCCTGCTTCTTCTTGGATGCCTGTTGTCCGCCCGCATTGGTGGAAGGCGTACCACCGAAAAACAGGATTTTCAAAACTTGGGGCTTTGGCTTGCTGGGATCTTGTATAGCTTCTCTCTGGGTTTTTGTGAGGAGTTCAAAGACTAGGGTTTGGCGACTGCGTGCGACATTGAGGAAGCAGCCGGGGATCGGAGTTCTCGGTTGGATCCGCAGACCACCCACAAAACCCGAGACTCTCAAGCCCAAGACCTAAAAACCTGAACCCTAAACCCTAAACCCCGAAAAGTCTTAAACCACTGGAAAGGGAACCCTAAACCCAAAATTCTTAAACCACTGGAAAGCCTCAAACTCGGAACCGTGGACTGCCATGCAGTCTCCAAATCCACAGGAAATCCCGCACCGGGTCACGAGAAGGAAGCGCTGCTGGGCATCCTTCTCTTTTTTAGGGTTTAGGGCTTAGGCTTAA